CATCCAGTAGGTTAGCTCCCACTGGGGGACGGGTTTACAACGTTAAGATCAGGGGTTCGATTCCCTTCGACAGATAGCCCAATGTGAATTTGTTATAAGAAACACACACACACACCAAGTGGCTCAGTGGTAAGTCTCTGGACTTGCGACGCTGAAAATCTGGTTTCGACACCGGTAGTGGGCACAGCATAAAATAGCCCATTGTGAAGACTTGTGTGAAGATTGAGGGTTGCGGGTTCGAACCCTCCCACCAAATATGCTCGCCCCTTTCAGCCGTGTAGGCGTTATAATGTGACAGTCAATCTCACTATTCTTTAGTAAAAGAGTAGCCCAAGAGTTGGCGGTGAGTGGTGATGACTAGCTGCCTTTCCTCTAGTTCCTTTCCTTAAATTAGGAACGGCTAGCGCATATAGCTCTCGTGTAGCTTTGCGCGAAACTCAAAATAAACAAAAAGAAAAAACAATCTAATCTGCTGATGTCTTTAAGGAACTCTAGGATAGGACTACGTCTCTGTTGGTAGTGGCCGGGATTTGGGTCTTCTTGATAAGAGTTTGGTACGTTATCCACTTGACAACACTTAGGATAAACACACACACTCACACATATAAATATATATATGCATAATTATCTACAAGTCAGAGGCGTCACTAGACACTGGCACACGGCGGATCCCGTGCTCCGATTCTATTTGACAGTACCACGAATCCCTAGTTAATATCTTAAAAAAAATCAGAATAGAAAACCATTATTTCGGAGGGGGGCTATGGGCCCGAACCGCGATTATTTTAAGTACCTAGCGATGCCTCTGTCACTAATTACTAGATGTAGTTCCGCAGGGTTCCCGAAAGTGTTCTGTTTCAAGAGTAAATAAAACCAAAATTAAATGTAACAAATATTTTTATTTCTTGTTTTTCAAGTTCATATGTAATGCTGTGTTGTAGCCTACAGAATGCATAATTCTTCTCACGATTCATGGCATGCGGACGTTTTACTGACGTCACGACAGTACAAATTGCAACGTTAAGCGTCCCTTATGTGACGTCATTTTAGTGTCTACTGACTGACTGACAACACACTGCTGTATGTTGATGCAAGTGGTTAAAGCAGGTGACGGTGATCGCATAGACTAATAACAATAACAACGATTGATATCCCTTACCGTAAGTACTTCATAGGCTGTCTTTATGCAATATGGTTGATCCACACTCCGAAGTGCGTTCTGCGCCACGCTAGTGCATTGCAAATTGGCTTGCAGTCGGCTGCAAAAAAAAAAATCAAATTTTCTATGGCCGTTTTCGAAAACAAAACAATTTCATTAAAATACGTTATAATAATGGTTTAAGTGTGATGACCAAATGAAAATACGATAAGGAGCCATTTTATTTATCACTATCTGCTTTTCAGATGTTTGTGTGTGCGTGGTATCATTCTCTCTTTGCTATGAGTGCCGCGATTAATGGCGTGCCACATTATTTTCTTATAGTTTCAGGTTTATCTTGGAGGGAAAAAGTTCAGTAAACGTTGATCTACAGGCTTACTTTTAAGTGATTGGTCGGCCCACAAATGTACTGTTGTGCGGTTGTCTGAGATAAATGATTGTCTGTTGGTCGATACGTTAAGGTTAACATTCAAACAGCACGGTTACAGCGTTAAACTGAATGTCTGATCTACACGAAGACTGTTCTCTGACTGATATGTAACTTAGTCAGTTTTTTTTGTTTGTTTTTAGGACAAAGCAACATTGGGCTATCAGAAAATATGACAACATAAACTGGTTTTATATATTAACAAACAGCTTTAAAATCGCAAATTCACTACGTAAAAAAACAGTGTCTATGCCACTTTATTTTTTGCGAAATCATCTCTAGGTTCGTATTGTAGTATTCGAATAATAATATTTAATCTATTACAGCTTTTTTGTCCATTGAGTCACAATATAAAGAGTTTGTAACAATATTTTACATTGATGCGATCGTAGTTACAATGTCTAACTTGATTCACGTTATTGATCGACTTTTAGCTTTGATATCAAAGTCACACGAAAGAGTTAAATTAGTTCTGTAAATACTCACTGAAATGGCGGTACTAAATAAATATTGTATCTCGAATTTAGCTGATGGACAAAGTGACATATTAAAATACTTAGTATTAAAGCTTAAAAATAAGTTCTGAGTACAAAAAGTGTATTATAATTCGATAAACTTTTTATCTATTAGGTCGTCAAGAAATTAATGTCGCGTTTTGAAACACTTTCATTAACACCCCCCCCCCCACTTCCCAAATAGTTAAACGAACCGCCTAAACGTCACGTTAGTGTAACCTATATAATGTACAAAGTTTAGTGTACTTTAATTGCTTATAGTGATGGCACACGACGAAACACACAT